CATGTCGATAGCAATATTCAAGCCTATTTATTGCACTAGAATTTTCTATTTTGGCAGATTTTTGATAATTAACGAATACCTTTTGTTCATCATTTTCAACTCCTATTCCGATTCAATAACAATATGCAATCTCTTCTCAGCAGATTTTGAAAATTTACAAATGCCTTTTGTTCATCTTTTTTAATCCTAATTCCATCTCAATAGCAATGCCCAACTTGATTTATTGCACTAGAATTTCCCATCTCAGTGGATTTTTGATAATTAATGAATGTATTATGTTCATCTTTTTCAACACCTCTTCCATAAAATAACAGCATGCAAGCTCATATATTCTGCTAGCATTTCCCATTTTGGTAAATTTTTGATAATTAACGAATGCCTTTTGTTCATCTTTTTCAACACCACTTCCATAAAAAAACAGCATGCAAGTTCATATATTTCGCTAGCATTTCCCATTTTGGCAAATTTTTAATAATTAATGAATGCCTTTTGTTCATCTTTTTCAACTCCTATTCCAATTCGATAACAATCTGCAAGATTATTTATTGCGTTAGCATTTCCAATATCGGCAGATATTTGATAATAAATGAATGCTTTTTGTTCATCTTTTTCAAATCCTATTCCATGTTGATAGCAATATTTAAGGTCATTTATTGCAGTAGAATTTCCCATTTCAGCAGATTTATTATAGTTTATAATAAAAATCAGACTTCTTTTTTCCCTCTCTTGTATTGTAATCAAGTTTATTTATTAGTTATTAGTTTAGTTTATCCTTTTATTGCCATATATTGGACAATGACATGTGGCTTTAATGTGCTTAGCAGGGTTAAAATAGGCGCACGTTAAGGCTTAGTACATATACCATATATAAGCTATAAGATATGATAGAACCAACCAATTATATATATTTTTTTAGAATTAGAAATATTTATTTATTTATTTATTTTTTTCAGTAACAAAAACAATAGTTTCAGATGACACTATGGTAGAGAATCTACGACACACACAAAAAAAAAAAACTACACGTTACATTATATATGATCGAACCAATGAAAAAAATGAATGAATTCTTTCGTTACGATTTTTCATTATTTCCTTTGACGATCACTGATTATCAATTCATCATACCGACAAAAAATCAGAAGAAAAAAAAAAAAAAACAAAAAAATTATCAAAAAGTAGTAACACAAACATAAAGTAAAATAGATATACAAGCGCAAAAAGGAAGTTTTTTTTAATAAAATTGGGTTGTTTTTAACCGATTCAAATTTTATTTTTTATTTTTTTTTTTCTATATAGTATCATATCGATATCGATTCATATTAGATGTAGATATAGATATATATAAAAATGGTGAGTGAAAGAATTTCATAGATTAAGAGGAAATTTTGGATGCCGATCTTATGCACAAAGGCAGCACAAAATGCGATAATTAGAAAAAAAAATTACATTACATAAGCATAAATAGTAATGAAGATTGCAAATCGTCAAAATTGAATATCGTTAATTAATAATAATAATTAAAACAATTTTAGATAATTGTTAAATTTAAGATATACTAATACAAACAAAAGGATTTAAATTTAATTATCAGAAATATATACGTATTAATTAAAAGTAAAATTTATTATTAAGAAATTCTTAAAAAATAGCAACTTTTTGTTATTTCAATAATTAAACTTTGTTTTTTTTTTAATAATCTTTCCTTATGTAGACACCTGTCACTTTTCTACATTTTCTACATTTTCTACATTACTATTCTCATCACTTCCTGCATTTACATTTTCATCTTTTTCTCTTTCAACTTTTTGTTTTCTATTATCAAGTATTTTGAGAATACTTTGAATAACGCTAAGAATAATTTTAAAACAAGTTGTAACCAATGCTATATGTTACGATTGATCGAAAATATATAATCTATAAAAATAAAATAAAGTATTTGAATTAATAAAGAAATATTTTTGACTAAATACAATAATAAAAACTTACTTGAATAATTAATAAAGGAAAATTCTTAACAAAAAGATCGGCAATCGCTCTATAAGGAGCAGTTGCAGCAAAATCTTTTCCAAACATTTCTTCTACTCTGTTCATAATTATAACAGTATCACCATCATACACTGCTAATAAAATGAATATATAACTTTTAAGGGCTTTTTTGTTTAGAGATTTCTTTTTGAACTTAATGTAAAGAAACATAACAATATTTATTGCTATTGGTACAGCCCATATAAATTTGCTGTTTTTTTTTAAAAATAAAATAAAATAAAATAAAAAATTAATAATAAACATTTTAATTAATATCAAAAACATCTAAAAAGATGCATGATAAATCACCTTGCCAAGCTGATTTCTGGTCTACTATCAGCGTCAGAAAAAGTAAATTGAGTCACAAAAGTAGAATGAGAAATAACGAATGATCCACCTGAAATTACATTGGCAAATTTCTTGAAAAGATCATAAGAAACACCAAAATAAACCTACAGATAATATTTATAATGAGATCTTTTTAATATATAAGTATTAAGAGTGATTGAGAATTTTATCTTCTTCGTTTGAGAAATAAAGTAAATCACTGAATTAATCAAAGCAATCACGATCATGGTGATAATTGCACCTTTATAATCACCCCATAAATCATGTGTTGGTTTAAATCCAAAAGTTGGTTCTAAATCATTTGTCAAACCATCAGCAAAAGTAGTGACTTTCTTATTTATAATCTTATCATTTAGATCTGATACAACTCCAGGAACAGTATTTTCATTTTGTAAATTAGTTAAATTTACTCTAATAGCAAATTCAATATTTGTATTAGATCTACTAGAATAAACAAACTGAAAATTTCCATCTGTTGTTAGACGTTCATATCTGACAGGTAATTTTTTAGCAATGTCTTTTAATAAAGAATTAAAGTAATTAGTTTGGTTTTCAGGAGAGAGAACTTGAAATCCTTCTGTTGCTTCAGTAGTGAGACGAGATAAACAAATAGCAGATTCCTCTGTAAAAAAAGTATATAAAGAAATATTAGTACATGAAAATTTAACGTTGAAATTGAGAGAATTTTTTAATTATATTACCTGAATGTTTTGCTTTATATGCTGAATCATACATAATAAAATAAAAATACCATACATAATATCAATTTAGAAGCCTAATAATAAAAAATAAAATCAAAATAGAAATGAAAAAATATTACTTGAATAATAGTTTACAATTCCTTGATTAATGGCTCATCGAGCCTTTTATTTCTGACAAAATTAGCATCCATTTGTACATAATATGTTTCACCAAACTGATTAAACGTGCTGTCAGTGATTTTTATATTAACGGTCGTATCATTTATGACACTACAGAAATCAGCCATATTTGCTGAAACTCTTTGTCTAATGCTGTTATCAGAAGCTTTATAGATGGTGATATTACCGGTTGATAAAACAACAGGGTCATAAAAGGTAATACTTAAGGTATTTGTTAATGAATTGACAGTACTATTTATAGGTGGATAAATTTGGTTGATTTGGAGATTACCGTAACCATTATCTAAATTATTAAATAAGTATTTACAACGTTTAAAAAAAAAAATTAAATTATTTGAAAGATATAAAAATAGAAACATACCGCGTTCTTTAAAAATCATAGGTAATTGAATGGTGAGCAATGACCAAGAAGTATTATCATGATTTGAATTTTGTGAAGCGAGTAAAAATGTATTATTATTTTTCATAATATCATTTACACCGAAAGAATTTGTAAGAAAAGGTCCAGGGGATTCCAGAGGTGTTGGATTGTTATTTTCGTCATAAGCATAAATATAATGAGTATTTTTTGCAGTAGCATCTAATATATAACCACCGAATGCATTTATTTCACTCTCCAACCTTGCTGAGGTATGTTAGTTACATTAGGTAGACTTGATATTAAATCAATTGATAAAACTGATTCTGATGATAAAAAATGAACTTTGATATAATCCGTTTCTGTAATATTTGTGGCATTATTTTTTATACTTGCAGCGATTACGCATACATAACCAAAACCGATGGATGCTAGATCGCAATAAAGACCATTAAAAGTTATATTTGGGCGAGTTACTCCATATAGAAGAACTTGTTTAGTTTCGAATAGCTGATCGTAGGATATAAAGGTCGCATACAGCCCACCACGTGTAGTTAATGATGAAACGTTGTCGTCCTTCGATGAAGAGTTCACATTCATAATTGCATAACCACTATCAACGGTTGACATTAACGTACTCCGGTAAGTAATGGTATCTTTTGAAATTATTGAGACATTATCACGTTGCAACATTGATACTGTTCCAGAATTATCGCTAGTTGTTGTAATGGTTATAATGGTTATAATGAATGAATGATTGTTATTAAATGTTAATATATAAATATAACAACAACAACAATAATAATAATAATAATGAATATTAAAAAAGATTACATCGAATATTGCTGCCATTCGGTCCATTGCGTATTGCCTTGTTTTACAGAAGCTAATCTAAGAAATCCAAGTTTTCTGTTTACATTTACTTGAATTGTATTTTGTGGACTCCAAGTACCATTGAATCAGTATAAGATGGGCCAAAAAATATGGTACTAATGATATGTAGAATATATAGAATAATAATTATGTGAACAAATCAATAATTTTTAAAATTCTATATTTACAACATAAATTATTGTCACACCTTCGATTGTTACCGTTCCAATCAATGATGTTTCCCCATTCCTCAAAAGTTGTAGGATCAGAAGAATTTGTAGTTTTGACATAAGTTACTAAAATAAAAGGTTTTTGTAAAGGATATATTTGAATAGGAATCACTATATTGTTGAATATACTATTAAATAAACAATAATTCGCTGGATCAAAATTTAGACGGGAATTAATTTCAATAACAGTTCCATTTAATTGAATGACTCTTATTGTTCCAAACTCTGTCCTGCACTCTGTCCTAAATTCAGCCTCAAACAGGCTGCTGCTTGTGTTGAATCACGTCGTGCAATATGAACTAGAGTTGTTCCATCATCATAAGTTTTAACATTTAATATAAGAGGAATAGTGTGAGGAAATAAAGTATTTAATGTACTTTCAGTATAGTTAAAGTGCAATTTCGTTAATGTAACGAGTATGAAAAGAAATATTAAAAATAAATACTGTGCTACAAGTTTCATTATGAATTACTATTACTTTTACGCTTGACTATTGAACTTTCACCACGTATCATACAATACAAAAGTTAAGCATTAGAAAATTGAATACGTAATAGATATTTAATGGATTGCCGTAGATATCATGCATAATCACGGGGCGGTCATTTATCATGCGTCAGTGCGGCTGCGCCGCACTGACGCATGATGACCGCCCCGTGATGACGCATGATATCGAGGCTGACATTAAATATCTGTTTTATCCCCT